CTCTGTAGAAGTTTCTGGGGTCTTCTGTATATTCCTAGTGTCTGAATTTTTATGAGAAATGTCTGGTTTATGTTATTTAAAATTAATTGTTCCAGGGACTTTTTAACCTCCTATTTTTAATCTTTTTCTTACTACTTTTTGTGAGTCATTTGAACTAATCTTCTAATTTTATTGTATTTTTTTTTTTTTTACTAGTTATAACTTTTTAAAATTTCAAGCTTTTTCTCCTGTTCTATGGATGTTCCTCCTATTTTTGTTTGCTGGATCATTCTCTCATATGTTTCTGAGGAAATTAATTGTGATATTTTCCTTTAATTTTCTTCTGCATGTTCCTGGTTTACTAGGAGTTGTTTTTTTCCTTTCTGTCTCTTATAATGAAGGCTTTCATCACATGATTGGTTATGCATCTCTCCCCCCTTTTTAATAATCTTTAAAAAGTTAACAAAAATTGTTTACTGAAAAATGTTTAAGGCTTGGGCTTATTAACTGACGGGCTTGGTTATAGGTGATTGGGTAAGGGCCTGGCCATTTTTTGGGGGAGGGTGGGCATACCTTCAAATACTTACTGTATATCTTTTTCAGCTACTGTTCAGTTTTTGCATAGATGAATCCTCTGTCAGAACTATCTTGGATCCAACTAATGGCACAGTATTTACCATTAGTTGTAGATGTAATTCCTTTCACTTTTAGTTTAGCATCTCTCTGTTCTCATTTACTGTGCCCCTGGATCTGGTGCTATATTGTTTTGACATTTTTACTAAGACAAGAAGAGAAACAGTTCATACATGGAAGACGCTGTCAACGCCTTGCCATGCTAGCAGTCAACAGCTGTGCGTTGCTGCAGGTTTCCCAGGACCAAACCAGAGACAGTCGGACCGGCATCGCCACCATTTGTCCACCATCCAGATATCATTGCTGACATGTACACATGAGGAGCTGTTGGACATGGAAACTTGGGCTCAGAACTTTTGGACATTGAAACTTGAACTCAGAACTTTTGGACATTGAAACTGGGACTCAAACATTTTTTGTTCTCATATGTTTATTTCTGGCCTGTAAATGCAAGATTTTTTAATTTGGGAGTCCACCTCTAGGGGGACTGTTCTGGCCTTATGCCATCCCTTTTTATTGAGGCTATGGGAAACACCCATATCCTTTTGGCAGGAAATTCCAATAATAGACAATCAGCAAGAACTTACATATGATTAACAGGTTAAAGTTGCTTCAATTACCACTGTCTCAACTAAACAATGAGTTGATAGCTCCGACCATTCAGAGCCATTATGGTTGGGATTCCCTTTTGGGTTCCCTTTTCACTTTTAACTACCAATGACAATGTTCGATTTCTGTCAAAATCACTCCTGGGATTGGGGAAGAGTAGTCACCTACCTACCTGTCTGGGTTGCATGGGAGATTACTGCTTTTATAGACTTCTATCCAGTTTCCTTGTTTTTTTAGTTCCATGCATCTGTGTGTCCACTGTGGTAAGTGGTATCTTAAATTCCTATCCTTTCTGATTTTTGCTATGTAAATTGGCTTTTCTCATGTTGGAATTCTCTATAGTTGCTGGTATTTGGCTCTCATAGCCCCAAATCCTCCATATGTTTTTCATTTGCTAAAAATTTGTTGATGTATCTTGTTTACTATTATTCCTGCTGTCTTCTAGTCTGTGTATCCTTGTGAATTTATATTTTTTATCTTTATATTCTTATATAAAAAAATTTAGTATTTTTTAACAAGATAATAAGAGCATAAAAGTTCATGTTAAATGATTATTTGTGGTACAGAACATTTTTAACTGCTTAAAAGTGAAAACAAGAATGGAAGAAAAAGCCAGGAAATAAGAAAATTTAGGTGATCATTATCACTCAGTTATGTACAAATTCCTTAATGGAAATACATACACACATTGTCACACATACCCACATGGTTAGATATAATTGATACATAGATTATACATGTATTATTTACACATACATTTAAGCATATGTATATATGTACGGATATAATGTGTATATGTATAATTTTATATCATAATATTTGGAAAGGATTGTGCGTTCTTTTGTCCAGCGCAGTTTCATTTTTCAACGAGAAAGCCTGCTTAGATACGTTACTGATTTTGCTGAAAGTTTCAAAATCAACTCTTCCCAGTGTTTTGTTGAACAATAAAATATTAAAAATGTGAACATCTTGAGTTTCAGAACTATATTTACGTCTAATTCTGGCTGTAGGTAAATAGCATAAAGTTTTAAATCGAATCCTAACAGCAGTTTTCAATTGGAATCAGGGAGGGGAAGGTTCACCTGACAGTTCTGAAAATACAGTTGTAATTTAACAAACTGCTTTGTTTTTAGTGATGATTTTTACCTTATTTTGAATACATATTAAAGGAAAGTGTGAGATGTTTGCTTATCTGATCCATTAACCACTTATCTTACCATTACATAGCATGGATCTTGCTTGATAGCTAACAACCATGTCAGTAACAAAAATAAAGTTGCATATGAGAACCTAAAGGCTAACTTTAAAGTAAGATGAGTAAGTTCCTTATTAGCTAAGGTAATTCTTAAATGTTAGTTGCAAAACCGTAAACATTCTAGTAGAAGACTAGAATAGACACACAGTAAAATCTCAGACATCTCACATAGCAACATTTTAGCCACTATGTCTCCCAGGGCCGTAGTCCGCAAACTGTGGCTTGCGAGCCACATGCAGCTCTTTGGCCCCTTGAGTGTGGCTCTTCCACAAAATACCACGGACTGGACGAGTCTATTTTGAAGAAGTGATGTTAGAAGAAGTTTAAGTTTAAAAAATTCGGCTCTCAAAAGAAATTTCAATCGTTGTACTGTTGCTATTTGGCTCTGTTGGCAAGGAAAGCAAAAATAAATGGGATTACATCAAACTAAAAATCTTCTTCACAGCAAAAGAAACGAACAAAATGAAAAGGGAACCTACTCTCTGGGAGAACACGTTCCCCCATGATAAGGGATTAATTTCCAAAATATATAAAGAATTTACACAACTTAAAACCAGGAAGATAAACAATCCAATTTAAAAAATGGGCAAAGGACTAGAATAGACCCTTTTCTAAAGAGGACATACAGATGGCCAGTAGACATATAAAAAAAAATGCTCATGTCTCTAACCATCAGAGAGATGCAAATTAAAACCACAATGAAATGCCACCTCACACCTGCCAGAATGGTTACCTTCAGTAAATTAACAAACAAGTGCTGAGGAGGTGTGGAGTAAAGGGAGCCCTCGTGCATTGTTGGTAGGAATGCAGCCATTGTGGAAAACAGTATGGAGTTTCCCCAAAAAGTTGAAAATGGAACTGCTTTTCAACCTAGTGGTCCCACTTCTGGGAATATATTCTGATAATTCCCAACACCATTGGTAGATGAGTGGATAAAAAAAGCTACGGTACGTTTACACAGTGGAGTACTACAGGTTATAAAAAGAAAGGCTCTTCCCTTTTATGACAGCATGGAGATTATTATGCTAAGCAAAATGAGCCAGTCAGAGAAAGGCACTCATCATGTGATCTCACTTGTACAATCCAATGAATAAAATAAACTGACAAAATAGAACCAGAGACATGGATACTTGGTACAGACTGACAGATGTCAGAGGGGAGGTGCATGGGGGTAGATAAGGTGAAAGAAGGTGAAGAGAGTAGCCAAAGAACATGTATGTGTAGCCCATGGTCAGTGTCATAGGGAGGGGAGGACAGAGTCTGGGGGGGAAAAGCCAAGGGAATGTAAATGAGGGACATCTGTAATAAAGTCAACAATAAAAATATAATTTGAAAAAAACTTTAACTTCTGTTTTTGTATATTTTTCCTTTTGTATACTAAATGTAAAACATACCATAGCCAAATAGAAAATATATATATTTTTAAATATATTTTATTGATTTTTGTACAGAGAGGAAGGGAGAGAGATAGAGAGTTAGAAATATCTATGAGAGAGAGTCATCGATCAGCTGCCTCTTGCACACCCCCTACTGGGGATATGCCCGCAACCAAGGTACATGCCCTTGACTGGAATCGAACCCCGGGGCCCTTCAGTCCCCAGGCTGACTCTATCCATTGAGCCAAACTGGTCCCGGCTAGAAAGTATTTTTAAAAAGAAAAAAAACGTTATCCAGTTTTACCACTTAAATATTACCATTTTTTTTTATTTTTGCTCTTATTCATGTGTACATATTTTTAAAAATTGTATTCTCTATAGAGACAGTTTTAATAATGGCATAATGGATATCTTTGTGGCTATATTTTTTTTAAAGAAAATTTTCAGATATATACTTAGAAGTAGAATTGCTTTGTGAAAAAAAAAAAAAAACCCAACATTTTTTATGACTCTTTATTTAAATTGTTAGTTGCTTTTAGGAAGGAATATACCACCACTTTACTAGCAGTGTGAAGATTTGATTGACTTCACAATAACCTCATTAACTTTGTTACTTAAGTTAACATTTCCTCTCACAAATTTTACAAGTGAATTGTGATAGTATATTATTTCACTTTGTACTCTGTTGATGACTAATGACTTTTATCCATTTAAAAATGTAGAATTTTCAATTAGAAAAAGTAATTCTAAAAGATAGTAAAATATGTTTTATCCTTAGGGAGTGTGAAAATGAAGGATTAGGTAGTTGATCCCTAAACCAAATATTATGTAATTAATCATAGCTGCAACTTAAAATATAAAAAAATTGCTATAATGAGCTGTCTTCAGATTGACTCTTTTGAGAGACATTTGGAAAAATTTGGGATAAAGTTAAGTTGTTCATAAATTATAAAAACAGTTACTAAATTATAAAACCAGAAGACTGTATTAAGAGATGTTTTTTATATTCTTGTCAAGAAGCCAGGTACATTTAAATTTTTACTTGAAGACTAAAAATTTTTGCAAAGTTTAAAAAAAAATGCTATATTAAATTTCATCCAGAGTGCCATATGTTGGTAATAATTTTCTTTGAATTTAAACTTGTAGGAATGGGCCGCCGTTCATCAGATACTGAAGAAGAAAGCAGAAGCAAAAGAAAAAAGAAACATCGTAGACGGTCATCTTCAAGTAGTTCTTCAGATAGTAGAACATATAGTCGAAGAAAAGGTGGAAGGAAATCAAGGTCAAAGTCAAGATCTTGGTCCAGAGATCTTCAGCCTCGCTCACATTCGTATGATAGAAGGTGATTCTCATAATTTTTACCTACGTAGTAATGAGACTACATTCTTTCAAGTTCTCATATTTTTGTATATTTAATTTTTCTGGGTAAAACATTCTTCTTTTAATAGTTATTCTATCTACTAAAAGAGAAATATGCAGATTGACCATCATTCCAAAACACAAAATCAAGATAGCTGCCCCCATGTGGTCAAAAATCCTGCCCCCATGTGGACACAAGATGACCACCACAAGATGGCCAGCAGGGGATGGCAGTTGGGAGGCAACAGGCCTGCAAGGGAGGGCAGTTGGGGGTGATCAACCCAGCAGAGGAGGGCAGTTAGGGATGACCAGGCCAGCAGAGGAGGAAAGTTGGGGACAAACAGGCTGGCAGGGGAGCAGTTAGGCATCAATCAGGCTGGCATGGGAGTGGTTAGGGGGCCATCAGGCTGGTAGGCAGAAGCAGTTAGGGGCAATCAGAAAGGCAGGCAGGCGAGCAGTTGGGAGCCAGCAGTCCTGGATTGTGAGAGGGATGTCGGGCCTAAATAGGCAGTCGGACATCCCTCAAGGGGTCCCAGATTGGAGGCGGTGCAGGCTAGGCTGAGGGACACCACCACCCTCGTACCCCCCCCCCCCGAGTATGAATTTTGTGCACCGAGCCTCTAGTATACTATACTATACAATACTATACTATACTATACTATACTATACTATACTATACTATACTAGTTATGAGGTTAAGTCCCAAACCGGAGGTGTTTTGTTATGTTTTTTTCAGGTCTATCCCATGGGTTCAGTCTTTCTCCTTTGTCTATTCTTTGTAGACAAGTAGACATAAACTAGCATAATTCTCATACTATGTTATCTAATAAAATTTGGAAGGATTGTATACTACTTAACACCTCCAAGGTCTTAATTTGTAGCTAATTCAATCACTAAATTATGAAATCAGTCATCTGACTGTTCAAGAGCAATAACATTTTATCTCTTTTTGCTTTTAGGAAGGTGTAAGACCGTAAAAACGAGACAATTCTTTAGAATCTAGGTGATTTCTCCTTAATGCTCATACAAAATTTTTTTATAGCACTGATACTTGATTATATTTTATTTCAGACGGAGACATCGATCAAGCAGTAGCTCTTCTTATGGCTCCAGAAGAAAACGAAGTCGAAGTCGTTCAAGGGATTGGGGGAAGTCCTACAGAGTTCAGAGGTCTAGGTCGAAAAGCAGAACAAGAAGGTATGCCGTATCAGATATTTATTGCTCTGTAACACATTATCTCCACAGTTAGTGATCTGAAGCAACAATCGTTTATTTTCTCATGATTTGACAATTTTGACCTGAGCTCAGCTGGCAGTTTTTCTGCTAGTGTCATCTGGGTCACTTCTGTGGCTGTAGTTATCTGATAGCTTAACTGGAGCTACATGGTCCACTGTGACCTCAGCTTAGGGTTTTGGTATTGGCTTTTGGCTATTGGCTAGGGTGCTTTAGTTCTCCTGTGGTTGGTTTCTCATCTTCCAATAGGCTAGGCTGGGCTTTGTCACATGACGGGGAAAGTACCGTATTTTCTGTACTTTCCCCGTCATGTGAAAAGACGTATAAGACGACCTCCTAATTTTACAGTTAAAACATAGGTTTAGGCCTATATTCGCTGTATAAGACTACCCCCCCACTTCCGAGACAACACCAGTTCTTTTTTTAATAGACAGCCTCTCTGACTCTGGCCAATCTGAGCAGGCTTTTTACTAGAACACAGGGTAGCTTCGGGTACAGAACATGTACACTTCGGGTACAGAACATGTACACTTTGGGAACACAGGGTAGCTTCGGGTACAGAACATGTACACTTTGGGTACAGAACATGCACACTATGTTCTAGTAAAAAGCCTGCTCAGATTGGCCAGAGTCAGAGAGGCAGTCTATTAAAAGAAGAACTGGTGTTGCCTAGGAAGTGGGGGGTAGTCTTATACAGCGAATATAGGCCTAAACCTATGTTTTAACTGTAAAAATTAGGGGGTCGTCTTATACGCCGGAAAATACGGTATTTCAAGAGGTTAAGAGCAGAAGATGCAAGATCTCTTAAGGTCTAGCCTCAGAAATAACTTAATGTGATTTGAAGTAAATGTTTATGTCCCGCCCCCCAGCTACTCTTTCCCACCCAATTCGTATCTTGTGTCCCCAATCCCCAATATTACTGAATCAGGGTCTTTATGGAGGTAATTATGATTAAATGAGGTCATAAGGGTAGAGCCCTAATCGATTAGGGCTGGCGGCCTTACAAGAAGAGGGAGATCATTCTCTCTCTTTGAGTGCAAACTCAGAAAAAGCCACGAGATGACAGCGAAAAGTCAGCCATCTACAAGCCAGGAAGAGCTTTTACCAGAAAGCAGATAAGCTCAGTATCTTGATTTTGGACGTGGAGCCCGCAGAACTATGAGAAATAAATTTATGTTGTTTAAGCTGCTCAATTTGTGGTATTTTGTTGTAGCAGCCCGAGCTGATTAATATAAGTTGTCACTCCATCTATGTTTTCTTGCCTTGCTCAGGGGCCAGTAATACAGAGAGTGGCCTATTTGGGAAGAGTTGTACATGTTGGGCAATGGTTGAAAATATGGTTGAATAGGATGGGGTCCACGGTACTGAGGGACTTAATAAAAGTAGGTGTTCAGAAGTTATTGAAAGTTTTTGAGCAGTAGAGTGTTAGTATCAAAACAAGAATTTAGTAAGATCAGCTTCTTTTTTCTGTTTAGTTCTTCTACTATTAGATTCTAGCTGTAGGGGTATATTAGCAGCCTGATTTTGCTAGGCATAAAATTTTATAAATTTCTATGAATCTGAAGTTGGATAATGGGAATAAAGTCCAGATGTTTAGCTTTTCTGACCTTGTAGTATTTTGATTTAGTTTCCTCTTTTTAGTACACACTCTGTATTTGGACTTAGTCTCCTCCTCTTTAGTCCACACGCCATGAATAAGCTTCTCTGTATTGTGTTTTTGTACTCTATACATATTCTGGGGTTGCTAGCTTTGTTGTTTTGAGCATGCTTTCTTTCAGTTTCTTGCAACCTTTAATTCTCTTTTTCCTTAAATCCTTTTTTGATGTTTATCTTTGTACTCCGAAGTAAAATTTAATCCATTCTTTCTCTTACCCATTACACATGGTTCCTGATATGTAATAGTTATACTATGAATATTATGTCTATGTAATATTCATATATTATAAACTCTTACAGGGAGAATCTTTTGGTACGTAACACAATGCCTTGCTTAGTAAACATGTTTTGACTGGGTCATTAACTAGGGAAATGAACTTAGGTAGAGAGCTGTTTTATTAGTAAGGAAAAGTTTTATTGTTTATTGATTTGTAGAAGGAAAGCTTTATTTTAGATGTATTGATTTGTCTAAAAGCAGGCTGATTACCAGAAAACAAGGTCAGTTGAAATCTCCTATCAGTGGAAATAGAAATAGTAATCCATGCTTTTTTATGTCTTTTTTCAGGTTATAGACTATTTTCACACACCCTGAATCAGTCAACCAGAGTTTGATTAGGGAAACAGAAGGCAATGAATTCCAAGCAATGGGATTTTAATATAGGGAATTAAAGGCCTATGCAACACTTAAAAGGGCTCAGGGAATTAGGGAAGCTGTCACTGATTAATTCAGCCAGAAGTATTAAAGTTGGCTGTTTTCTCAGAAGTCACTGGAAATCTTAATAACTTTCTAGGTTTGTAGTAACAGAATGGGTGGTTCTCAAGACACTACGTGGAAGCTGCTTCTCTGTCCAACTATGTACCTACCACTACCTTCAGAGGGAAATCTGGAAATGTTAATTTCTTTTCCTTTGCAATGCAAGGAAGAACTTAAAAGTAATGGCAGTAATGTGTAGTCAACAGCACACATGTTTAGCAATCTGTGTTTTATAACTATGTCAGGCTCTCTATTATGTTCCATTTGTCTCTGTGTCTGCCAGCATTATATAGTTTTGATTACTGTAGCTTTGTAATATATATCTTGAAATCAGGAATGTGAGGCCTCCAGCTTTGTTCTTTCTCAAGATTGCTTTTGTGTATTTAACAATTCTTGAATTCAAGGGATGAATCCAATTTGGTTATGGTGTATAATTGTTTTAATGTGCTGTTGAACTTAGTTTGCTAGTATTTTGTTGAGGTTTTTATGTCAGTATTCATCATGGATATTGGTCTGTAGTTTTCTTATAATATTTTTGTCTGGCTTTGGTATCAGGGTAATAATGCTGGCTCATAAAATGAGTTTGGATGTGCTCCCTCCTCTTCAATTTTTGGAAGAGTTTGAGAGAAATTTGCCTTAAAAAGAATTTATTTAAATGTTTGGTAGAAATTCTCCAGTGAAGCCATGTAGTTTGGGCTTCTATTTGCTGGGAGGTTTTTGATTTCTGATTCAGTCTCCTTATTTGTTATAGCTCTGTTCATATTTTTGTTTCTTCATGATTTAGTCTTGGTAGGTTGTTTATATTTAGGAATTTATCCATTTCTATACGTTGTTTCTTAATCCTATTTATTATTTTGGTTTCAATTTTAATGCTTTCTCTCTAATATCTGATTTTAGTTTTTGAATCTCCTTGTTTCTTCTTAGTTAATCTAATTAAGGGATTACCAATTTTGCTGATCATTTCACGAACAAATTCTTAGTTTTATTTATTTTTTAAAAATATTTTTTTCTATACCTTATTTTTCTGCACTAAATGTTCTTTATTCCTCCCTTCCTTCTGCTGATTTTTGGTGTAGTTTGTTCTTCCTTTACTAGTTCCTTGAGATGTAAAGCTAGGTTATTGATTTGAGATATCTCATCTTTTTTAATGTAGGCATTTCCAGCTATTAACTATCCTCTTAAAACTGCTTTTGTTGCAGCCCATAAGTTTTGGTATGTTATGATTTCATTTTCATTTGTCTCAAGATATTTTCTAATTTCCCTTGTGATTCCTTTGTTGAGTCATTGATTTTTCAACAATAAGTTGTTTAATTTCCACTTATTTATGGATTTCCCAGTTTTTCTGCTGCTATTGATTTCTAGTTTCATTCCATTGTGGTCAGCAAAGATAGTTTGTAAGATTTCAATCTTCTTAAATTAGTTTATGTGTGCCATGAGATGAAAAGATTGAAAATCTCTGGTTTAGACAAATGTATAACGACATGTATCCATCCGTATAGGTTCATACAGAGTAGTTTCAGTGCCCTAAAAATACTCTGTACTCTGCCTGTTTCACCCCATCTCCCTAACGTGTGACAACTGTTTACTGTCTCTATCTATAGTTTGTCTTTTCCAGACTGTTATATGGTTGGAATCATACAGTATTTAGCCTTTTCAGATTGGCTTCTTTTACTTAGTAATATGTGTTTTGGTTTCTTCCATGGCTTTGATAGCTCATTTTTTTTTTTTTTTTTTAGTACTATACAGGTTTCCTCACTATCCAAAAGTAGAATATCCCTATGAAACTTTTCTTAATAGTGCAAAGGGCGATGTGTATCTCCAGGTTTCTGAAAGTTCGAGTTATGCCACTTTGCTTTTATAAAGATATATATTGGTACTTGTTTTTGCAAACCAAAATAAATCTGATGAAATTTCTTCTTTTTTTTTTTTTATCCTCACCCGAGGATATATTTTTTCATTGATTCTAAAAGAGAGGAAAATAGAGGGAGGGAGAAAGAGAGAAAAAGAAAAACATTGATTGATTGCCTCCCACATGCGACCTGACTGGGAATCAAACCGGAAATCTGAGTATGTGTCCTGACCAGGAATCAAACCCGAGATCCATCGGACAATGCTCCAACCAATTGAGCCTCACCAGCCAAGGCTAAAATTCCGACTTTTAGATAAAAGTCATTGTGTATTAATATAGATCTTTGGTAAAAGTGAAATGGCATAACTTAAACTTTTAGAAAGTGGGGATTTATCCATTCACCTGCTGAAGGACATCTTGGTTGCTTTTAGTTTTTGGCAATTTTGAATAAAGTTGCTATAAATATCTATGTTTTTATGTGAACATAAGTTTTTAACTTCTTTGGGTAAATATCAAAGAGTATGGTTGGTAAGTCATATGGTAAGAGTATACTTAGTTTTGTGAAAAACTGTCAGACTGTTTTCCAAAGTGACCATACCATTATGCTTTCCCACCAGCAATGAATGACAGGTTCTCACTAGCATTTGGTGTTGCCAGATTTTGGCCATTTTAATAGGTTTTTAGGTATCTTTTTATTTTAATTTG